CAAACCGAGGAAAGCCAGCAGCTATCACAAAGAGTCAAGGATCGGCTTCTCCCCTTGAGCCTCCAGGAGGGAGAGGGGCCCTGTTAACACCCTGATTCCAGCCCATGGATGCTGGTTGTAGACTTCTAGCCTGCAGAACTGCAAGAGAACAAATTTCTGTGGTTTTGCCACCCAGCTTGTGGTAATTTGTTATAGCAGCCACAGGAAACTAATAGGGTTCTCAAATAAGCTTTAAAACTAAATAAATGGCATGAAGTCTAGTGTTTAGGCTGGCTTTCCAAAAAGGAAAAAAAAAAAAGAAGAAGAAGAAAACATAACACTTTATTTTATCTTCTAGAAAAAATACAGGGGAACATGTATGAAATAGTTAAATGTGTTACCTTGAAAATGCCCCGTAATAAAACCTCACTCACATTCCCTCTATATACAAATATATAAAAATAACACATACATGTATTACATAAATGTCAATAGTGTAAATTGTTGATATCATATTTATTCTGGGAGTAAGGCGTTCAGTAGATTGTTATGTTTAATTTATTAGTGAAGACAACGAATCCATTTGTGGCTGTTTTACTTATGCATTTTTCTGTTACCCTTTCTTGTGAATCTCCCGATGGAATACAATGCATTTATTATAATAAACTTCTCAACACATACAAGGCACAGATTCACACTGTAAATTTTCTCCTGAGAAGTTGAAATGTTTAATGCATTTAAGCTGCTGCAAGTGCTGATGTTACAAAAGAGGCCGTTTCCATGTAGCTGCTGGTGATTCACCTCTAGCAGGAAAAATGGAGAAGATAAACTTTGAAAACATGTTTTTGAATTACAAACCAATATAAGAACACTATTATTGCAACTTTGTTAAAGATAAGAATGTCTCAATGGGATTAACTCTACATTACTATTGCCCTAGTTCAGTATTTTTTCCAAAAGAACAAATTTCCAATGCGTAATTTCTTAACTTTTAAACATAGTATATGTGTGTGTTATTCCTTTCTTTACTCCGAATGTATACTGGTTAGGTGTCTACAAGGTCACAGTGAGAGAAAAGATATATCCAAGAAGCAAACTATGAATGATTCACTCATTTAATTTGAGTATATTTGTAAAAACTAGACATTGGATAACTTTTAATGTCAAATGCAAATATCTGGGACACAGTGAGTTACATCTTAATACTTACATGAGAATTGCATTTCAAAACCAATTTGCATTCTGACTTAAAGATAAAATCAGAAAGTTGGCCAAAGAAAACTATGCAAATTGCACTCTTGGCAAAGAGGGGAGTATTTTGAATTTGTAAATAACCCTTTTCTTAATTGTAAAATAGACATGGTTCTATAAAAAGTATGAATGTTATTGGAATTCTGTTGCTAGGATGGTTTATTCCAAACCGGTATTTATTATCAAAAATGATTTATGACAAGTGCTCAGTCAAAATAAATGTAGTGACCACGGCGGGAGGTAATGCCCGTGTGACTCTACAGAGAACTTTCTTTCTTTCACCAACTTCAAATTCTAGTTGCTATGGCATCTGGTGACAACCATAACTTTTGAAAATTATCACCATCTGCCCACACCCCCTCCTAAGATTTTTTTATATGCCCACTCAAGCAACCAAAATAACAAACAAAAACTCCACAAGCAATCACAAAGATTGTTGTTTTGTTTTGCTTTTGTTTTTTTTAATTATAGATAACCTAATGGCATAGTATTCGATATGGAAAAAGACACAATTAAAAATTTAAGGATAGTTTTTATTTCCCAAGAAAAGAGATACTTCCAGAGAAGAATATCATTTAACTAAAGTGTTCAACTGTTGAAAAGAAAAATTAAGGAAACGAATTGGAACAAATCAATGAATATGTATAAATTTGGCTAAATTAATCAATTTTATATTTACAGGACCAAGTTAGGCAAGTGGGAAAGTAAATTTGCAATCTTTTATTCTTTTCAAATGTTACTACTTGAAATACAAAAGTCCAAGTCAATGTTCATAGATAGGTCACAATTTAAATCTTAGACCAGACTTGAGGTCTGGGAGAATTTTTGTTTGCTATTTCTTTTCTCAACTTTATTTTGAAGTTTGTATGTTTGCCTCTTTCTTTTGCTTGTAAAAACAAATTTTAAGAATTCAACTCACAGGTTAAAAGCAGTAGAAATTTTATCCAACTAGTGATATTAACCCTAGTTTAACTAAGGTTAATATCAATAATATGGATATATAACATAATTGTTCAATTTAAAAACAAACAGCACACTTCCCAATCTCAGGAAGAAAGAAAAATATATAATATTTTTTTAAAGAAAGCAGTAAATATAAATAAAGTTCTGGTATATAAAAGTCTATATATTCACATTAAATCATATTTTCTCAATGCACTGCTTCCTGGGACAAAGGTGTTATTCTCCTTGATAACTGTAAGATTTCTTTAGGGATCATTAGAATTCCAGTTAGTATTTTAACATAGTAAATGATGTTCCCCAATATGTTAAGATATTATTCTGTATCCCTTGAAATCTAAACTTCTGCATCTACAACTCTATGTCAAAAGGGGAATCATATTGAGAATACTAAGGCAACACCATTCATTTGCAAACAGTGAAACTTCTGGCAAGCTCAGATCTTTGGACCAATGTCTAAAAGTTACACAGCCATGAAACAGGCGGCAATGAGCTCGCATGCCCTGTTTTAGAGCCATTAGGGGGGCAAAGAACACTGAGCTGACGTCCTCTTTCTAGTCTGGTCCCTTCTCAGGATGAGCCTCTGGTCCCTCATTCTCCTCTAGAAAATCACTGCTTAAGGAATTTTTTCAAGTAAGCTTGACAGAAGTTCCTGGTATGTGGGTTCAAACACATGAGAAAGAGAAAAAAAAAATTTTTTTAAAGTAACATATCAGAACAAGGCAGACCAACTGAAATACATAAAATGATCTTACTTCAAAAACGAATGACCATATTGATGGGTCAAATCGAAACTGTCTTCACTGTCTCCGTTCACCAAGCCAGGAAAGTGTGTACTAGATCTCAGGAAGAGACCTTTCAAAAATGACTTGATGTTTTGATTTGGGGTTTGGGCTATGAACTTTATTTGGAAACTTAGCCCCAAATTCCTGGATGGTGTGGGTCTATGCAGATTAGGCGAGGTGTGACTATATGCAGATTTTTATGGCATTATCTTACTTAATCATTGCTTTGTAATGAATTATTTATAGCCCTCACCTTGAAAGATTAAATATTGGCAGACTATTTGGACCAGATTGTTCCTCTTTTAATATGAATAAAATGTAGGATACATTTTTCCCTTAAAATAATGATTAAGTAACAATTGACAGTCAATATAAGCTTACCAAATATAGAGAAAGGATTATTAAAATGGTTACTGTAAAAAAAAAAAAGGACTCCAAACCACAGTTTGTTGAGGGGTTAATTATATCACAAAGACTCTTAGGCCTTTCTTTTATGAAACTCAAGTCTTTCAATCATAAAATATGAAAAGTTAAGATTTTTAATACATGGTACAAAAGATCTTCCCATGTAGTTCCAAGAAGGCGTATTTTAAAACAGGACGTTATCATTTCATTTGGTTAAAATATAAACAATCAAACTGTAAGAAAGTACTACATTTTTTCCAAGTCCCTAATTCAGAATTAGAATATGAGGCACTAAGATTCCATTTCTTGAGAAATATAACTAGACCCACAGAAGTGCTGATAGGATACCTGACTTGTGAATGATTCCTTTTCAGCTATTAATTTCATTTTTCTATATCTCAGTGTTCCATGCAGAAAATTAGCACAAAAATACAAACCCCCATGAGAATTTCAATTATTTGCTCTTAAGAAATTTTGGTGTATTGATAAAAAAAAATGCATAACATAAATAAATAGATGAAAGAGCTTAAAATTCAATTTAACAGAAGTTGGATAAGCACCCACAAAGGGGAATGAGCTGTTCAGACATTGCTGCAAAAATTAAGGCAAGTTAGAGACAGTCATTAACTTCAAGGAAATTTCACCCAAATACAGAATGTGAATTCAGACTACCCATGATTATATTAGAACATACAGAAAGCAAAGTTATAAAGAAAAAGAAAATATTGAAACAGAAATTCAGAGAAAAAAGGAAAACTCTGTCCACATCTTGCCAGATTATTGTATCAGGCGTGTTACACAACATTTACACGTGTATCTCCTCAATAAATTTCCATGAAAACAAGAATAGAAATACTACATGTTATATAATAATATCATCATTACCTGATTTTGCCCTTGGCTATGGTTCATTTCCTGATGAAACATCAAAGATGGGCAAATATATGTTTATGTTAAAAAAAGAATTAATGGACACATCCAGGAGGTAGAAATCAAATGAGTTATTTTTGCTTCAATGTGTTAATTAGAATTGATCATGGTATGGAGCTTATGCAGTCAATACTATAGAAAAAAACTATTCTTTTACTTATTGGTTGTCAAAAACCTTCAATTGGTTCTAAAAGAAATTTATCAGTTTGAGAAAAGTCAGGAGATACTTCTATTTGATACAGTTACATCTTTGTTACTTAGATGCATGTCTACCCATTTCTGAGTTTTTATGGAATGAGAACCCACCATGAAATCCAGAGTCCTAGGTTTGAATGACCACTGACTGACAATGACCAGTTTATTGACCTTGAGAAAGTCACTGATTTTCTCTGAACTTCAATTTCTTAATAAGAAAACAAGGATAATAACTTGCTGTTTGCTGTATGTGGGAAGATCAATTAAAATAATTTCTAGCATTGTGCTCGATTAATCGTCATTCATTTTCTTTTAAATAAAGAAATGGTGGTAATCATAGCACAGCTTTGAAATAGACTCTCACTAGCAATATTATCTTAAGGTGCAGAAAATAGAGTTGACGTGTATAAGTATCAACATAACTATAGGTATATGTAAAGGCTCTGCCATTGGCTGGCTTTTAATATTTTTGGTATAAATAAGTCGTACGCTTACCTGTTGGGGGAATTATCCCAGGAGACATGAGGCCAGGGACAGAATGTGGCATGATGTGAGAGCTCTCAGGGGAGGTGACACTTTGAGTTCTCTTAGGAGGCCTTCCAGGTCTAGAACTGAAACAAACAAACAAAAAATTTTTACAATTAAGCTGTTGTCTTACACATCATTTCAAAGTTGTTTCAAGTGGTAACATGGACTGTAAATAAATTTGTTTCAAGGACGGTTGCTTTTGCAGTTAGATGTAATAGACTTCCATCACTAATTAGATTACATGCTGAATTCATTTTCCTCATTGAAGATCAGCCACTCCTGATGCATAATTCATAGCCTGCACCTCGTTACCTGCTTCTTCATATTAATATCTATACACAGTTTGAATTGCCTCGTTTGCATATGCTAAAGTTCTGCATGCAGCCTTCAGCGCGAAAATTATGCACTAACTTGTAATAATTATTACAGTCAGCCTGCTATTGATTTATGAGACTTTTAAAAACCAAATATGTGTAGTACTTGTAATGAATGATATTTTAAGGTTCTTCAGGAAATTAAAAGGCAATGGCTGCCTAAGGAAATGTTCTGCTTGTTTGATTTAATACTACAGTTAGCTGGGAGGTGGAATGAAAGAGTGATTCAGACCTATAGCACATTTTTCGATGATATGTTTTATTACTTCGCACTGCTAGCCAGATATCTAGATGATAAATGACAATACATATCTAATGTGTGAAAAGGTCTTGCAATTTCTTTATTTTTTGTCATTTAAAAGATAAGTCAAGTTATCATTTAACCCTTATTCTATTTAAGCGAAACCTCCCCACACTAAGTTGCCTTATTTTTAATATTCTACAATACATTGGAAAGACTACGATTATTTGTAAGACATTATTGAGAAAGTAGCAAATAGCTTCTTACATCTGCCTTTAAGATAAATGAAAATACTCTGAATTTTAGCAGTATTTGCGCTATCTATGCCTATTGCACAAGACTAATTATTAAAATTATAAAAGCGGAAATTAAGAGGAGACAGTATTCGCTATCCTTGTATGAAAATAACACTACTTATATAATGTTAAAATGTTTCGAATAAATTCTTAGCATTGGGTTTCCACCTTTTGCCTTGGTTATTAAATATGCTTTTGTGAAATGCTCTTCCGTCATTTATCTAGCCAATATGTGCCTAGATATATAAATATATATAAACCACCTTATAGATTCTCGTGAGTAAGCATTTCCACGTTTGTCTAGACTCATCAGAAATCAAGAGATCTGATCTCTTTTATTTAGGTTAGTAATACATATATAGTCAGTGAACAAATACAGCAGAAGCTCTGTAAGCTGACCATGCAAAGGACCGTGATAAACTGATGACCATGGGGAGGTGGTCAACATAAGGAACTAGCCCTACTGACTGCACTGACAGGTGCATGTGGCACATGTCTGGTCTATGAAAATCAAGTCCATTTAAGCAAGTGGTCAATGTGGGGAGATGGTTCACTATGGGGGTTCCACTGTAATTATTAACTCCCGTTTTCAAGTGAGTACATTAAGGAGGCTAATGTGGGAGAATGGTTTTTTTATTTTTTTGTTTTTGAGACAGTGTCTCACTTTGTCACCCTGGGTAGAGTGCCATGGCATCACAGCTCACAGCAACCTCAAACTCTTGGGCTAAGGTGATTCTCTTATCTTAGCCTGCCAAGTAGCTGAGACTACAGGTGCCCACCACAATGCCCGGCTATTTTTTTGTTGTTGCTGTTGTTTAGGAGGTCTGGGCTAGGTTCGAACCCATCAGCCCCAGTGCATGTGGCCGGCACCCTAACCACTGAGTTACAGGTGCTAAGTCAGAGCATGGGTTCTTAATCTTCAAAAGTTTGTGCTCATGCCCAGTGGGAAAGTCTGATGCATAAACAACTATGATACAAACTACAATGTGCTAATTTCCATAAGAAAGTTGTAATCCAAATTCTAATTGGAAGTCGGGATAGATGATGACACTCCCATGTTGAGGGAAGAAAGATGGCCGTGGGGTCATGAAAAGATAATTCTGAAGGTTGAGTGAGAGGTGCAGAAGAAAGTACACTCCAAAGAGAACTAAAAGAAAGTGTGAAGATGTTTCAGATGAGTTTAGACAAGTGAAATAAGAAGAGGAGCATAGACTGACACCATCAGAATCATTGTCTGGAGCCAAATCTTGGAGGACTCTAGAACAAGAGGGAGACTGTTCCTTTGCATTTTGTTAATCAGTAGGGATATTGTCCTTCTTATAGCTCTAAAGTATTTCTCTAGCTACTGCTTCTTATTCTTTATTACTGTTCTTCATGGCTTTGTTTTTTTTGTTTTTTTTTTTTTTTTTGGAGACAGAGCCTCAAGCTGTCCCCCTGGGTAGAGTACTGTGGCATCACAGCTCACAGCAACCTCCAACTCCTGGGCTCAAGTGAGTCTCCTGCCTCAGCCTCCCAAGTAGCTGGGACTACAGGCGCCCGCCACAACGCCTGGCTATTTTTTGGTTGCAGCCGTCATTGTTGTTTTTGGCGGGCCCAGGCTGGATTTGAACTTGTCACCTTAGGTGTATGTGGCTGGTGCCTTAGTCACTTGAGCCACAGGCGCCAAGCCTGTTTTTCATGTTAATTGGTTTTTAACTCTTGTTATTTGCCTACATTCAATCAACAGCCCTCTGGTAGTTTCCTTTCCTCCTGATTGATATTTGCGGTCACCATCACTTGATGATAAGGTCTAAGGGCTAAATAAATATACACCTATGGCCCAGATCTTTCTCCTGGGATTCAGGCAGATTAATGCTTATCTACCAGAAATCTGTGCTTGGATGTTCTACCATAATCTAAGACTCAGCTTGTCCAAATCTGAACTCAGCATCCGTCCCATTAAAGCCCATTTTGCTTTTCCTGGTTTAGCAAAAATGGCATCTAATTGGCTAAGCCACAACTCTAGGCCTCAGCTCTGTTTTGTCCTTATCTTGAATACTTGAATATCATCTCCACAAAGTCTTTCTATTTTCTCTCTTATATCTCTACTCCTACCTTCCAGATCAATCCCTGATTTCTTATTTGATCTACTGTCCCAGCTCCCCAAACTCTTTCCAAGACCTAGTTTCCAATTTTGTCTCGTTCCAGAGCTTCCAATTCTCCATACTAACTCCAGAAGATTTTTTGTAAAATGGAAATTTGACCATTTTTCATTCACTTAAAAATAACAATAGTTTCCCATTATATTCACGGTTCTTGCCATGGCGCCAGGGGCTCCCAATACTTGTCCCGGCCTTGTTTTTCCAATTTCACCCTTTTACGTCCACATTCACAGCTTGTATTTGGCCGTACTGAATTTCTTAAGTTTCCTGTGTTGCTTTGTTCTCCTATGATGCTCCCTTCATAGGAGATGCCTTCTTTGTCAGCAAATCTCTTCTCTACACCACCCCATCCTCATCCCATTTTACCTGGCTAAACCTGATTTGAACCTTCGTCTCCTCCTTCCTAACCAATTGTAGTTACTATTATTTGCCACGCACTCATAGCCTAAGGTGAACAGCTCTCTCATAGTTATTTCTGCGTGACTCCAGATAGCTTCCTGCTTCACTCCCAAGACTGCATGGCAGAAAGTCCATAAAATATGCCTCTGTCCCTTGAACACAGCTCACTGTCTGGTTCACCTCTATCTATTTAAATAAATCTTAACCTTATTTGTAAAACCATTTCCCTCAAATTCCTTAAGTACCCTGCCTCATCAATTCCAGTGGTCACGAAGTTTCCAGGAAATGAAAAGTAAGACATAAAAAATGTTTGGAACTCTAAGTATAAACATAATGTTAAATATAAATCTCGAGCCCAGAGAATGAGAACGGAGGCTTTGGGAGATCTAAAGCAAGATGCCGTGAAAAAAGAAAAAGGAGGTTGAAAGATTTTAGCCCTTTCGTTGGTTCCGCTTTTAAAGAAAATGCAACTATTTAGGAGTGCTTTATTATTCTGGCCACAGGAGTTGTCCCAACAGCCCTCACTCTGGAAGTAGAAGGCAGGCTACAGGCTACTAAGTAGGAACACTTTAATTCACGCTGTGATTAGAATAGACCCAGTGGGCTCCTTTCACCACAGATATCTCCTGCCCAATCTATCACATTGCCTCAAATTCCACCAATAGAGATTTATTGCTTTCCTTCTTGAAGCTTTAAGTTCTTTTAAAACCTTTCATTAAAATGCAAATACTCTTGGTGGTGGTAACACCCTAAAGCCATCAACTAACACCCTACTGGGGATTAGTTTCAATTAGGTGAGAGCACAGTCCTGAGATACCTAAGCAAAGAATGGGAGAGACTGAGAGGGAAGACTTGGAAGGATGAGTAAATCACTTGCCCTTTTGCCCAAGAGCAAGACCTTTCCTTGGAGTTATACACAACTTCTTAGCTGAGGGGAAGTTGGAAAATTTACGTATTAACATAACTTTCCTCTCTGCTTCACAAACTACAGTTTGGTGCCCTTATTGACAGGCTTGTTATTTTACTGCCATCTCGGTCACTAACTTTGGGGTGGGCAGGTTTGAAGACTTCAGGGAAGATAATCCTAACTGAATACTTAAAATTCCTTCCAAGAAGAGTTAGAGCACTACCAAGACAAGGAGGGCACTGCTGTCGCCAGAAGCAGATATCACTGCCTGGGTAGATCCAGCTGTAATATTGGCTTTACCAATTTATCAGAAGGTACAGCCTTCATGTACCTAACCTCTCAGACTATCTAATTAAATTGGGATTAAGAAAAAAACTGAGCGCTTTGTTAGAAATCACTTACTCTTAGAAAGAAAAATAAAAACGTAACTGAAAAGAGGAAGTGAAATAATTAACCAAACCATTTTCTTTTGAATAATCACTTGCCTCAACAGTAGCCACTGTTCACCCACCCTTATCCACAGCGGTGACCCGGCGCTGTCCCAGAGGATCTGAGCAAGCTGAACGCCCCTAGTGCTAATCAAACAGATGACCTCACTGTTTTTGCCAGCTTCACACGTAGGACAGTATTTTCAAACATCTGTACTAAATGAGGAAAGCAATGGCTTAGAGATGTCCAAATCACACTTAATACCCCAAACACTTATAAACTCCCCCAAGTGTACC